CTTGTATTAAATCACTTTTGTCGCTAATCGATGTTAGTATAAACTACCAAGCGGTAGCCATATCCGTGCCGACCGGAAGCATTAACATGTAAATTATTTTAAATTATTATTCCCTTTATCTTCATCACTTAATGCAAATTGAAGGTGAGAAAATATTTTCTAAATTCAGTATCATTTGCTGTCCAGTCTGTTTTCTTCCACATTACTCCAGTTCTCCACTACGAAGGGAACAAGTCATCACGAACTGGTGTCGTTTGTTATATAGAGAGACTGATTTTGACGAATTCTGCAAGACGAAACAAACCATAACTTGCTTGCCTTTCTCTTTGTAAAATGCGCATGAAATAATAATATACAAATAATACAAAACCTATTTTTTTTAATCTCTGTTGTCAGCTCCCAAAAATGTTACTTTCTCTGGAGAATTTGATGGCAACTCAACACCTGCTCTAGAGTTGCCAAACGAAGAATTTTAGACCAAGTTTATTCTTTTCGACAACAGTTATCTTTACAACTTAGTCTCGTGTGCTTCTTAAGGTTTTAAACATACATCGACTTAACAGAGAACAATTTACCTCCTAAATGTGAAAATCATGAAACAGAATGCCATGGAAAATTGTCTTAGTGAAGAAAAAATATTATTATAACACGTAAAAAGTGCTTGGAGTGTTTAAATGTTATCAGTTGCCATACCTTTGAAGTGCTTGTCGTCTGTGATATCGGTAAGTTTTGTTCACAGAGTTATGTTTCGCTATATATTATTTAATTTGTTCATCAGGAAATTATATTATTGATATTTTAATTGTACTTGAATTATTTGATTTAGTTTTAGCTTTCGTTCTTCAGATAAGTGTTCAGTATAATTCAGAGTTTAGCTATGATATCCTTCATTGAAATGTATGCCATATTTTTAGGTGTCTTGGATTGGTTATATAAATTTAGTGGAACTTCAAAAGCTAATGAAATGTATGCTGATATAGACATATTCCATTATTATTGTTCATCACCACCACCACTACCACCATTATCACCACCAGTGGTACTATTACTACCACTACACACACCATCAAAACTACTACTATTAATACCACCATCACCACCACCGCCACCGCCACCATCACCACCACCGCCACCATCACCACCACCGCCACCATCACCACCACCGCCACCATCACCACCACCACCACCATCACCACCACCGCCACCACCACCACCATCACCACCACCGCCATCATCACCACCACCGCCACCATCACCATCACCGCCACCATCACCACCACCGCCATCATCACCACCACCGCCACCATCACCACCACCGCCATCATCACCACCACCGCCACCATCACCACCACCGCCACCATCACCACCACCACCACCATCACCACCACCGCCACCACCACCACCATCACCACCACCGCCATCATCACCACCCCACCATCACCACCACCGCCACCATCACCACCACCGCCACCATCACCACCACCGCCACCATCACCACCACCGCCACCATCACCACCACCGCCACCATCACCACCACCGCCACCATCACCACCACCACCACCATCACCACCACCGCCACCATCACCACCACCGCCACCATCACCACCACCGCCACCATCACCACCACCGCCACCATCACCACCACCGCCACCATCACCACCACCGCCATCATCACCACCACCACCGCCACCATCACCACCACCGCCACCATCACCACCACCGCCACCATCACCACCACCGCCACCATCACCACCACCGCCACCATCACCACCACCGCCACCATCACCACCACCGCCACCATCACCACCACCGCCACCATCACCACCACCGCCACCATCACCACCACCGCCACCATCACCACCACCATCACCACCACCGCCACCATCACCACCACCGCCATCATCACCACCACCGCCATCATCACCACCACCGCCACCATCACCACCACCGCCACCATCACCACCACCGCCACCATCACCACCACCGCCACCATCACCACCACCGCCACCATCACCACCACCGCCATCATCACCACCACCGCCACCATCACCACCACCGCCACCATCACCACCACCGCCACCATCACCACCACCGCCACCATCACCACCACCGCCACCATCACCACCACCGCCACCATCACCACCCACCATCACCACCACCGCCACCATCACCACCACCGCCACCATCACCACCACCGCCACCATCACCACCACCGCCACCATCACCACCACCGCCACCATCACCACCACCGCCACCATCACCACCACCGCCACCATCACCACCACCGCCACCATCTCCACCACCGCCACCATCACCACCACCGCCACCGTCACCACCACCGCCACCACCACCGCCACCGTCACCACCACCGTCACCACCACCGCCACCGCCACCATCACCGCCACCATCACCGCCACCACCACCGCCACCATCAACACCACCGCCACCATCACCACCACCGCCACCATCACCACCACCGCCACCATCACCACCACCGCCACCATCACCACCACCGCCACCATCAACACCACCGCCACCATCAACACCACCGCCACCATCACCACCACCGCCACCATCACCACCACCGCCACCATCACCACCACCGCCACCATCACCACCACCGCCACCATCACCACCACCGCCACCATCACCACCACCGCCACCATCACCACCACCGCCACCATCACCACCACCGCCACCATCACCACCACCGCCACCATCACCACCACCGCCACCATCACCACCACCATCACCACCGCCACCATCACCACCACCGCCACCATCACCACCACCGCCACCATCACCACCACCACCACCATCAACACCACCGCCACCATCAACACCACCGCCACCATCACCACCACCATCACCACCACCGCCACCATCACCACCACCGCCACCATTACCACCACCGCCACCATCAACACCACCGCCACCATCACCACCACCGCCACCATCACCACCACCGCCACCATCACCACCACCGCCACCGCCACCGCCACCATCACCACCACCGCCACCATCACCACCACCGCCACCATCACCACCACCATCACCACCACCGCCACCATCACCACCACCATCAACACCACCGCCACCATCACCATCACCATCACCGCCACCATCAACACCATCACCACCACAACCGACCACCACCATCATCACCACCCTCACCACAACCACCACCATAACCACAACCGACTACCACCATCACCACCCTCACCACAACCACCATCACCACCACCATCATCACTACTATCACCACCACCGTTACCACCACCATAATCATCACCACCACCATCACCACCCTCACCACAACCACCATCATCACCACCACTACCACCACCATCACCATCACCACCACAAACGACCACCACCATCATCACCACCCTCACCACAACCACCATCACTACCATCACCACAACCACCATCACCACCACCCTCATCACAACCACCATCACCACCACCACCCTCATCACCACCACAACCACCACCACCATCATCACCACCACCATCATAACCACCACCATCGCCACCATCTCCACCATCAGCACCACCATCGTCACCATCATCATCGCCAAAATTACCACCACCACCTTTTCCACCATCACCGCCATTACCACTGCCATCACCATCAACACCACAAACCAAACTACACTCAACACAAGCTATATTGAGCACACCCATAGCAGGACATAGCAACACCGCCTCATTTATTCCCAGGAGACGCCACCTCCCCGCCGGTGCATCCTCCAAGGGCATCACATTCAGCGATGAGTCTGTGGCTGCGTTCGGTGCCTCGCCTGCGGGCGGCCTTCCTGCCGGCGTCTGCGTCCCGCCTCGCCCTCGGAGACCGGCGCGTCTTGAGGGAGGAGCCGAGGCAGCGAGTGTACTTCTCAAGGCAAGAAAGAAAATGTTTCAAACGTATGATCGTACATAAACACACACGCACTATCAATAACAAGATTTACGTAATGTTTAATAGACGGCGATTTCATCATTTGCCTGATCTTGATGGCAGACAGACATGTACATGTAGATAGACACATAGACCTGTGTTTACACATGTATCACGTATTCTGTATATCGGTTTTTCCCTTAGTCCGTGTCCGCCCGTTTTTAGTAAATAGATCACTCCCTTTTCCTAATAAATAACATATTTTAGTATCGATTTCTTTACTTTACAAACTTTTTTATGCTGAATAATCAATAAAATAATACAAGTACAATAGGAGACATAATCCACAAAATACTGGTACTCAGTAAATTAACATTTTTTTTTTTTTATTCCCTACCACATCTGTCATTCTATAACAGTCCCTCCTCAAGCTCTTGCGTCTTTACAGATCCCTAAGCAGCGGGGACGTGAAATGGCTGTGGCCTATCGACAGGGAATCTCTCTTGTTCCACCTCGTCCACGACCTCGGCAGCAGAATGGGGATTTTCCTCATGACACTCAATAGCGTGCATCCTCTCAAGACAGAGGACGTCGAAAGTGCTCTTTTCCACTTGCAGAGGTGAGTCACTTCTCTTGATATGATTGAATGCAATATTTACGTTCAATAGATTTCTTATGATGGAAATTGCATTGGTGTCATTTGAGATGTTTTTATGAGGTATAGTTACTTGGTAAGGGTAGGGTAAGTTATTATACATACATGGCATGTTGAAAAAAACTGCATAAAGGTAAAAATTTACACTGCACATTATAAGTTGATTAGAAACGAGGCAAAGATATCTTAGTGAAGTCTCTGTATCACATATTAGTTGATACTTTACATGAACCTAATGAAGAGATTATTGTTTTTTCGCAGAAAGAATCTTGCTATGCGTGTAGATATCCGAATTCGCGATGACGTCTGGTGGTTTTGTGAACAAGATGGCAATAACGTAGATTTTAAGGTAGGCACAATAACATTGACTTGTTTTGTATTTAAAACTAATATCACCTCTTTTTTTTTTTGCAAGTATAATGTATTGGCCACAGCGAATTTGGGTGCCTTACATTATTTCCCCATAGTTTTTTTTTTTTTTTTTTTTTTTTTTTTTTTAATAAATCACTCCTATTTTCTTAACAAATGATTTGTATCTTATTTTCATGGAATAATATATTTTAGTATCGATTTCGTTTTTCTCTTTACTTTCCTTTACAAACTTTTCATGCTGAATAATCAATAACATAATTCAAGTGCAATAGGAGATATCTACAAAATACTGGCACTCAAAAATTAAACTAAAAGCTTTTTTTTTCATTCCCTCCCACCTTTGAGTTACCTCCCTGCAGCTGAAAGACTATCACAGACCACTATTTCTAAGAGCACTATCCCTAACAGATCCCTAAGCAGCGGGGACGTGAAATGGCTGTGGCCTATCGACAGGGAATCTCTCTTGTTCCACCTCGTCCACAACCTCGGCAGCAGAATGGGGTTTTTCCTCATGACACTCAATAGCGTGCATCCTCTTAAGACAGAGGACGTCGAAAGGGCTCTTTTCCACTTGCAGAGGTGAGTCATTTCTTTTGAACGGCATTTAACAGGATTGAATGCGATGGTATTGAATATGATATGTTGCAAATGCCTGCATTATAAGTTGATTAGGAAACGAGGCAAGGATATCTTCGTGAAGTCTCTGTATCTTATTTTAGTTGCTATTTTACATGATCCAATGAAGAGATTGTTTTTTTTTTTTTTTTTTAAATAAATCACTCCTATTTTCTTAACAAATGATTTGTATCTTATTTTCATGGAATAATATATTTTAGTATCGATTTCGTTTTTTTCTTTACTTTCCTTTACAAACTTTTCATGCTGAATAATCAATAACATAATTCAAGTGCAATAGGAGATATCTACAAAATACTGGCACTCAAAAATTAAACTAAAAGCTTTTTTTTCATTCCCTCCCACCCTTGAGTTACCTCCCTGCAGCTGAAAGACTATCACAGACCACTATTTCTAAGAGCACTATCCCTAACAGATCCCTAAGCAGCGGGGACGTGAAATGGCTGTGGCCTATCGACAGGGAATCTCTCTTGTTCCACCTCGTCCACGACCTCGGCAGCAGAATGGGGTTTTTCCTCATGACACTCAATAGCGTGCATCCTCTTAAGACAGAGGACGTCGAAAGGGCTCTTTTCCACTTGCAGAGGTGAGTCATTTCTTTTGAACGGCATTTAACAGGATTGAATGCGATGGTATTGAATATGGTATGTTGCAAATGCCTGCATTATAAGTTGATTAGAAACGAGGCAAGGATATCTTAGTGATGTCTCTGTATCTCATATTAGTTGATACTTTACATGAACCTAATGAAGAGATTATTGTTTTTTTCGCAGAAAGAATCTTGCTATGCGTGTAGATATCCGAATTCGCGATGACGTCTGGTGGTTTTGTGAACAAGATGGCAATAACGTAGATTTTAAGGTAGGCACAATACTACTGACTTGTTTTGTTTATAAAACTAATATCAACTTTTTTCGCAAGTATAATGTATTGGCCACAGCGAATTTTGGTGCCCTACATTATTTCCCCATAGTTTTTTTTTTTTTTTAAATAAATCACTCCTATTTTCTTAACAAATGATTTGTATCTTATTTTCATGGAATAATATATTTTAGTATCGATTTCGTTTTTTTATTTACTTTCCTTTACAAACTTTTCATGCTGAATAATCAATAACATAATTCAAGTGCAATAGGAGATATCTACAAAATACTGGCACTCAAAAATTAAACTAAAAGCTTTTTTTTCATTCCCTCCCACCCTTGAGTTACCTCCCTGCAGCTGAAAGACTATCACAGACCACTATTTCTAAGAGCACTATCCCTAACAGATCCCTAAGCAGCGGGGACGTGAAATGGCTGTGGCCTATCGACAGGGAATCTCTCTTGTTCCACCTCGTCCACGACCTCGGCAGCAGAATGGGGTTTTTCCTCATGACACTCAATAGCGTGCATCCTCTTAAGACAGAGGACGTCGAAAGGGCTCTTTTCCACTTGCAGAGGTGAGTCATTTCTTTTGAACGGCATTTAACAGGATTGAATGCGATGGTATTGAATATGATATGTTGCAAATGCCTGCATTATAAGTTGATTAGAAACGAGGCAAGGATATCTTCGTGAAGTCTCTGTATCACATATTAGTTGATACTTTACATGAACCTAATGAAGAGATTATTGTTTTTTTCGCAGAAAGAATCTTGCTATGCGTGTAGATATCCGAATTCGCGATGACGTCTGGTGGTTTTGTGAACAAGATGGCAATAACGTAGATTTTAAGGTAGGCACAATACTACTGACTTGTTTTGTTTATAAAACTAATATCAACTTTTTTCGCAAGTATAATGTATTGGCCACAGCGAATTTTGGTGCCCTACATTATTTCCCCTTAGTTTTTTTTTTTTTTTTAAATAAATCACTCCTATTTTCTTAACAAATGATTTGTATCTTATTTTCATGGAATAATATATTTTAGTATCGATTTCGTTTTTTTATTTACTTTCCTTTACAAACTTTTCATGCTGAATAATCAATAACATAATTCAAGTGCAATAGGAGATATCTACAAAATACTGGCACTCAAAAATTAAACTAAAAGCTTTTTTTTCATTCCCTCCCACCCTTGAGTTACCTCCCTGCAGCTGAAAGACTATCACAGACCACTATTTCTAAGAGCACTATCCCTAACAGATCCCTAAGCAGCGGGGACGTGAAATGGCTGTGGCCTATCGACAGGGAATCTCTCTTGTTCCACCTCGTCCACGACCTCGGCAGCAGAATGGGGTTTTTCCTCATGACACTCAATAGCGTGCATCCTCTTAAGACAGAGGACGTCGAAAGGGCTCTTTTCCACTTGCAGAGGTGAGTCATTTCTTTTGAACGGCATTTAACAGGATTGAATGCGATGGTATTGAATATGATATGTTGCAAATGCCTGCATTATAAGTTGATTAGAAACGAGGCAAGGATATCTTCGTGAAGTCTCTGTATCACATATTAGTTGATACTTTACATGAACCTAATGAAGAGATTATTGTTTTTTTCGCAGAAAGAATCTTGCTATGCGTGTAGATATCCGAATTCGCGATGACGTCTGGTGGTTTTGTGAACAAGATGGCAATAACGTAGATTTTAAGGTAGGCACAATACTACTGACTTGTTTTGTTTATAAAACTAATATCAACTTTTTTCGCAAGTATAATGTATTGGCCACAGCGAATTTTGGTGCCCTACATTATTTCCCCATAGTTTTTTTTCTTTTTTTTTTTTTAATAAATCACTCCTATTTTCTTAACAAATGATTTGTATCTTATTTTCATGGAATAATATATTTTAGTATCGATTTCGTTTTTTTCTTTACTTTCCTTTACAAACTTTTCATGCTGAATAATCAATAACATAATTCAAGTGCAATAGGAGATATCTACAAAATACTGGCACTCAAAAATTAAACTAAAAGCTTTTTTTTCATTCCCTCCCACCCTTGAGTTACCTCCCTGCAGCTGAAAGACTATCACAGACCACTATTTCTAAGAGCACTATCCCTAACAGATCCCTAAGCAGCGGGGACGTGAAATGGCTGTGGCCTATCGACAGGGAATCTCTCTTGTTCCACCTCGTCCACGACCTCGGCAGCAGAATGGGGTTTTTCCTCATGACACTCAATAGCGTGCATCCTCTTAAGACAGAGGACGTCGAAAGGGCTCTTTTCCACTTGCAGAGGTGAGTCATTTCTTTTGAACGGCATTTAACAGGATTGAATGCGATGGTATTGAATATGATATGTTGCAAATGCCTGCATTATAAGTTGATTAGAAACGAGGCAAGGATATCTTCGTGAAGTCTCTGTATCTTATTTTAGTTGCTATTTTACATGATCCAATGAAGAGATTGTTTTTTTTTTTTTTTTTTTTTTTTTTTTTTTTTTTTTTTGTAAATAAATCACTCCTATTTTCTTAACAAATGATTTGTATCTTATTTTCATGGAATAATATATTTTAGTATCGATTTCGTTTTTTTATTTACTTTCCTTTACAAACTTTTCATGCTGAATAATCAATAACATAATTCAAGTGCAATAGGAGATATCTACAAAATAGTGGCACTCAAAAATTAAACTAAAAGCTTTTTTTTCATTCCCTCCCACCCTTGAGTTACCTCCCTGCAGCTGAAAGACTATCACAGACCACTATTTCTAAGAGCACTATCCCTAACAGATCCCTAAGCAGCGGGGACGTGAAATGGCTGTGGCCTATCGACAGGGAATCTCTCTTGTTCCACCTCGTCCACGACCTCGGCAGCAGAATGGGGTTTTTCCTCATGACACTCAATAGCGTGCATCCTCTTAAGACAGAGGACGTCGAAAGGGCTCTTTTCCACTTGCAGAGGTGAGTCATTTCTTTTGAACGGCATTTAACAGGATTGAATGCGATGGTATTGAATATGGTATGTTGCAAATGCCTGCATTATAAGTTGATTAGGAAACGAGGCAAGAATATCTTCGTGAAGTCTCTGTATCTTATTTTAGTTGATATTTTACATGATCTAATGAAGAGTTTTTTTTCAGGAAGAATCTTGCTATGCGTGTAGATATCAGAAATCGTGATGACGTTTGGTGGTTTTGTGAAGATGGAAATAACGTAGATTTCAAGGTAGGCACAAAAACACTGACTTGTTTTCCATTTAAAACTAATATCACCTCTTTTTTCGCAAGTATAATGTATTGGCCACAGCGAATTTTGGTGCCCTACATTATTTCCCCTTACGTTTTTTTTAAATAAATCACTCCTATTTTCTTAACAAATGATTTGTATCTTATTTTCATGGAATAATATATTTTAGTATCGATTTCGTTTTTCTCTTTACTTTCCTTTACAAACTTTTCATGCTGAATAATCAATAACATAATTCAAGTGCAATAGGAGATATCTACAAAATACTGGCACTCAAAAATTAAACTAAAAGCTTTTTTTTCATTCCCTCCCACCCTTGAGTTACCTCCCTGCAGCTGAAAGACTATCACAGACCACTATTTCTAAGAGCACTATCCCTAACAGATCCCTAAGCAGCGGGGACGTGAAATGGCTGTGGCCTATCGACAGGGAATCTCTCTTGTTCCACCTCGTCCACGACCTCGGCAGCAGAATGGGGTTTTTCCTCATGACACTCAATAGCGTGCATCCTCTTAAGACAGAGGACGTCGAAAGGGCTCTTTTCCACTTGCAGAGGTGAGTCATTTCTTTTGAACGGCATTTAACAGGATTGAATGCGATGGTATTGAATATGGTATGTTGCAAATGCCTGCATTATAAGTTGATTAGGAAACGAGGCAAGGATATCTTCGTGAAGTCTCTGTATCTTATTTTAGTTGATATTTTACATGATCCAATGAAGAGATTGTTTTTTTTCAGGAAGAATCTTGCTATGCGTGTAGATATCAGAAATCGTGATGACGTCTGGTGGTTTTGTGAAGATGGAAATAACGTAGATTTTAAGGTAGGCACAGTAACACTGACTTGTTTTCCATTTAAAACTAATATCAATTCTTTTTCTGCAAGTATATGTACTCTACACAGCGAATTTTGCTGCAAACAGGTGGCTCCACGAGTGTCAGTTAGTAGCCTTACATTAGTTCCCCATACGTTTTTTAATATAATAGATTTATTATTATTATTATTATTATTATTATTATTATTATTGGCCTTAAGATTGTTGTGATATTAAAATAGTAGTAGCAATAGGAGCTAGAAAATCATTCCAAAAGCCTTGGAAAAAAGTAAACATGTGAGATAGGCAGGACTAGCTGTTGACGCTCATGGAGCCATCTGTGTGTGAACACAATCACTAAACCAATATCCGGCACATTTGGTTAACGTATAAACAGAATAAATGCTAAGGAAGACGTAAGAGAAAATGTTATTATAAAATGTTATTTTTTGTATTTTCCATATGAACTTTCTGTATGCAAATGAATTGACCCTCTCATACTACCGAGGCAGCAAACATAGTGATCTTCTAAACAAACATGGCGCCTCCTGAGTGAGGTCCCGGGAATCACACAAACATTTTTTCTAGATATTACGTTATTTTAAAGAAATATAATTATTGCTTATTGAAATATTCTAGAAATAAATGACGTAAACGGGCGCTACCGTCATGCTCTGGGATACACGCGGAATGCCTGAAATTCACGCGGAAACGCAAAATTGACGAAGAAATTATAAGTTTGATAAAGCTACAGATCCTCTTCCCAATAACCTACTAGAGATTCCCATGATAATTTGTCTCCCACGTCTCCCATAATTCTTACTTTTAGCTCTATAGAAAACTGGCATGAGGGACATTGGGTGACCCCTGTCTAATTTATCACAAAACACCATTTATGAATATGTATATATATATATATATATATATATATATATATATATATATATATATACACACATATATACATATATATACATACACACATTCATACATATATGGATTTATATATTCACTCATATACATACACACATTCATATATATATTGATCTATATATTCACACACACAATTCAGTCATATACACTACAGTGTTTATAGGGTATAACATATTGTCTAATCATACTTTATTGAAGGTCTTACGGTATAACATCTGTATGAATTCCAGATGCTTAGCGAAGGAGCGAACTCGGTGGAAGAATGTCGGCGAATGAGTGAGGGAGGATTTCCCGACGGGGCCACCTGGAAGTTCAGAATGATTCCTCGGGGGAAGGAGGCTCCCTGTGTCATGCCAGAGATCAAGGAGGACTTTCCCTATCAGTATGATGTCCTTATGACTAGTCACCATGCATTAGGCAGCGGTCTTAGTGTCTCCTTGATAGTGAAGCGAATGGTGGAACTTTTGAATGACGTAATTCTGGATCGCCATATTGACGACGAGGTCACCAGTCGGTTTAGTTCTAGAGGAGAGTGTTATGAAATCGAATCAAGAATAAGGAAGATGTTAGAAGATGATCCTCAGCGCCACGACCACGTCAGGGAAACCATGCCAGATGCCAGTCCACTATTATTGCAAGCATTCCCACGACCCTCAGGGAATCGAGCCACCACCGGATACCTTACTCGCATCATCGACCTCGAAGCTACGCAGAACTTTCAAAGGCAATGCAAAGCCCACGGTGTGACCATCAACGGTGCATTCACTGCTGTGGTCAACATTGCCTTGGCCAGACTAATGCAGAAAGTCTGGAATCTCGCAACAGTCTTACCGCATTGCCAGTAACCATCTTGTAAGCGTGAACCGGTACCTAAAGCATACGCCAAGTGACGTCATGGACGGGTACCCTCTCTATATGTCCCACATTTCCAACATTGCAAGCGACCACGTTACCAGTCATTTCTGGGAATACGCCAAAGAAGTCAACCGAGAGCTGAGAGAAGGCCTGACTTCGGAACTCCCTTTTGAGCAGAAGGTGGCGCGCCTCATGGCCCAGCCCAACCTGGTGGAGGACTGGACCAGGAACCCTCCTCCGGTCGTGCACGACTACGGCATCACCAACATCGCCCGCTTCCCGATGCCCGAACGACGCCAGGACGACCAGGTGTTGGTGACTGATGTCAATTCCATCGCCATGGTACATAAATACATCCACATGCTTCTCTTCCTCGTGCTCACGTTCAGGGGTCGTTGCAGCTATTCCCTAAGCTATGCAACAGATTACTTTACAGACGAAACAGCCATTCTGTTGGCGGACGAAGTGATGGCAGTCTATCGGGAAGTGAGTGAAGTGAAGGGAGTGTAATTTATGAAACCCAAGAACTGAAGCTTATTTTTAATACGGCAGTCGTGAGTAAAATGAACCCTATGCAGAGTGATTTTAATAATGCAATATAAATAAAAGTTCTATATCATTGTCGATGATATTATTAAATCAAAACCGCAAAGATGATGCCCAGCAAACCTCCAGAATGCGGGAACCTAGAGATGTGACTAGTGCCGCATTATAGATATTTCCGAATGACATTTGCTGAAAGAAAATCCGGTATACCACTGAAATATACGCAAATGTCACACAACGTAAATGTTAATAGAATATAGTGAACAAATATAGCGATATACTTGATTACAAAAACACACTGAGAAAAATGCAATTATACAATTATGTGAACTTCGAGTAAATAAAAGTCCATATCTTTTCATATCAACATGGGATATAGACAAGCATAAAGAATTTATGATACATGTCGAATGACATAATTTAAATACCATCAAAAGTAAACAAATGGAAAAGCATAGTATTAAACACTAAATATTTTTTCTGTTGCTAATGATAAATGTGGGAAAGAAAAGAAATAATAGAGTAGTTTCCCAAAACTCTCTCCATACTCTTTTCATGTTGACACCAAAGAAAACTAGATTAAAGGTAGACTAAGATAAACGTAAGGCCTATTTTGTTCATTTTGGAAATAAAAATGTGAAGTTACGAGCCCCCTTTCCCCATACAAAATCGAGCATATGTATATATATATATATATATATGTATATATATATATATATATATATATATATGTATATGTATATATATATATATATATATATATATATATATATATTCATATTCATATTCATATATGTGACACGCACGCACACGCATATATATATATATATATATATATATATATATATATATATATATATATATTATTTATATATATATATATATATATATATATATTCATATTCATATATGTGACACACACGCACACGCATATATACATACATATATATATATATATATATATATATATATATATATATATATATATATATATATACATATTACCATATCTATATATGTACCTATCTATCTATCTATCTATCTATCTATCTATTTGTCTGTTTATTATCCATCTATCTGCCCATCTCTCTCTCTCTCTCTCTCTATATATATATATATATGTATATATACATTATCATATATATATATATATATATATATATATATATATATATATGTATGTATATTTATATATATATCTTATCAAATTCATCTGAAGGCAACAGTTGCAAGGTTTTAAAGTTTACTACGCTGGTGAAATATGGCAACTCCCCGGCAAGCAGAAGTTTCCAAACATGTTTTTTCTAAGAGAATATTTAATCGCCTGACGTCAGTATGCGTTCTAAAGTCAGAGGGTAACTATACACGCACATTCCGAATCGCCATTTCTTGCTTTATATAGGCATAATAGAAAATATTTTATCTCCTAAATGCAATTATGTAAGAAATGCTGCACGTTAACTTTCAAGGTTAACAGCGATAGTGAAACCAGTCGCTTCTTAGCAACACACACGGTACAGTGTTATGAGGGCCTCGATATAAAGGTATGTTAACAGGTTTAAGAGATGTTAGTTGATATAATTTTCTATGTGACATTGTTTATTATTCAGAGAGGGATGTAGTGTGTTTCATCTGTTGATATAAATTCTGAATTTCAACGATATACCAGTATTTTCTTAGGTTCACTGGATCATAGTTATCTATAAATCGGGTTGCAGGCGTGTTGTTCTTTACGGAAGGGTATTTTTCTTGTGTAATGGTCTTGCTTTTTTATGGTTCATCATCAGTCTCGTTATTGTGGTTGTTATCATCATTATAATTGCCACCATCGTCATTTACCTTAAGGTCTTCTACTATCATTATCATCATTATCAGAATAATCAGTTAAATGATTATCATTGTCATCGTCAGTCATTATCACCGGCATTATCAAACTACTCACAATCACAGAATATATATTAAGCATACCGATAGTAAGACGTAGCAACACCGCCTCATTTATTCCCAGGAGACGCCGCCTCCCCGCCGGCGCATCCTCCAAGGGCATCACCTTCAGCGATGAGTCTGTGGCTGCGCTCGGTGCCTCGCCTGCGGGCGGCCTTCCTACCGGCGTCTGCGTCCCGCCTCGCCCTCGGAGACCGGCGCGTCCTGAGGGAGGAGCCGAGGCAGCGAACTTACTTGCTAAGGTAAGATAAGATGTGTTTTCACTGAATATAGACATACAGTATGTAAATATATACACTTATATGTACACACACACCCCCATAACCATACATACATACATACATATATATAAATATATATATATATATATATATATATATATATTTATACATATATATAATATATATATATACATTATACATATATACAATCATATATATACACACACACACAAACACACCCACCCACACACACACACACCCACAGACACACACACACACACACACACACACACACACACACACACACACACACACACACACACACACACACACACATATGTATATATACACAAATCTATATATGTATATATATTTTTTTTCCGAGTCCTTGGCCTTGCTGTTCATGTTCCCTGTTTTGACCCCTTAGCCATTAGCTGACCTTTCCATCCTCTTTCCGTTTGGCGAGGCCCCTTATATGACACCCCTCAGTTACAGGGATTCGATATTGAGGACTTTGAGAGCTCCCGTTTTTAGAAAGATAGTCAGTAGGTATGTGTGTCTCTTCCATTATGCCATTCCTACAGGGAAGACTCAATTAGCCTTAACAGACTTTATGTTCCACAGGAGGACCCTAAGCAGTGGGGGCGTGAAATGGCTGTGGCCGATCGACAAGGAATCGCTCAGTTTCCACCTCGTCCACAAGCATGGCACCAGAATGGGACTTTACCTCATGACACTCAGCAGCGTCAATCCCCTCAAGACAGAGGACGTCGAAAGAGCTCTTTTCCATTTGCAGAGGTGAGTCCCTTCTCTTAACCCCTTGGTGCCGGGTATGACGTGTACGTACGTGCTATGCCCACCGTGAGTACTTGTTTGATTGTTTTTACGCATAGATGGCAACACTTGTACTAAATCACCAATGAGCCAACTACGAGCACTGGTCGTCTCGCCCGTTTACCCGTTTCTTTGATTTACGAAATATTTTACGTAATCTTATTTTGCTGTTACTAATGTTAAAAAACATTATAAAAATTATAATGTTTATGATAAAAATAACACCATCGATCCTCATAGCACCAGTGAAAAATACGTTTTTCCCGCCATTTAAATCAGGCGCTAGCAGAGCCATCTATCGGCAGACATTACACGAAAAACATAGAAAGTGGGCACAATATTTTCCCCATTTTTTGTTCATTTTCCCCGGCACCATTGGGTTAAGAGGTAGTTTGTATGACTGCCTGAAAGTTATTCTCTTCTCCATTTTTTGTTGCATTGTTGTTATTATGAGTATTTAAAAGGGAATATTCGTTTTCTAAAGCTTTCAAGGGTACTATACTGTAGGTGTCACTTTGGATAGTCATCAGATATGTTTGTATTATAGTGCGGAGATGTTTCTATTCTGCTCATACACAAGTTTTTTCTGTATTTTTTTCCCACAGAATCGTTATATATATATATATATATATATATATATATATATATATTTATATATACACACACACACATATACATATATACATGCATATATGTATATATATATATATATATATATATATATATATATATATATATATATATATATATATATTGGTACTTATGGAAATTGTCTGCAAAACTTATCATTATTATTACTTATCGTGATCATTACTGTACTATGAGTAAGTATGGAATTCCTAGAGAGCCAGTTTGATTCTAGTTGGATAGTCCTTTTCTTAGGTTGTGTGGTTAAGTAAACTCTATGTGATGGAGGGTAGGCATGCATCTGTATCAATATTTCATTGCAGTGTTTTATGTTGTATGGAAACCTTAGCTCATATCTGACACAAACACAAACACAGTAACGTGAACACACAAATGAAAGGAAACTGCCACAGTGAGAAACGAAATTGAAATGTAACGTTTCGAACTCTTCACGAGTTCCTCTTCAGACAACTGGTTTTTCAGTTGTCTGAAGAGGAACTCGTGAAGAGTTCGAAACGTTACATTTCAATTTCGTTTCTCACTGTGGCAGTTTCCTTTCACTTAGCTCATATGATATCGTTTTTGAATTTTCAAAACTGTTCCACTAAATGCTAATGAGGACTGTTTAAAAACTACACTTCTTATTACTCCATTATAAGTAGATGGGTAATTAGGTTGACAATCCATTTCTTGGGTCGTTTGGCTAAGTTGCTTAGTACTGCTCAATTTAGGTCATATCTAGTGTGGCGGATATTTGTGTTCTGGTTTTGAAAGCTAGTTATACATTTAATTCCACTGGCCTTTTATTCAGAACTAATGGTATATGACCTTGGTGTCTAGCTCATTCATATGTTTTAACCATTAATCGTCGTTTAAATCTAATGATGGAACTTGTTTTTCCTCAGGAAGAATCCTGCAATGCGGGTAGGTTTCCGACTTCGTGGAAATGTCTGGTGGTTTTGTGAACAAGATTGGAAAACGCATAAAGTCGATTTTAAGGTAGGTTGATTAGCATTGACTGATCTTCCATTCATCATATTTAAATTTTTAAATTGTATAACGAGTAGGTGATATATTATACTTTATACAAAAATACTGCAATAGGATATCTCATAGAAAGATATTATCAATAATAGGATGATTTAAGCGAGTCATACAAAAGTATTAGGTACGAACTTGCAACAACAACCTGTGAGATACCGTCTATGATTTTCAGATTCTTAACGAAGGAACAAGCTCGGCAGAGGAGATTCGACGTATGTGTGAGAAAGGATTTCCTGACGGGGCTACCTGGAAGTTCAGAATGATTCCTCGGGGGAAGGAAGCTCCCAGTGTCATGTCAGAAGTCAAGGAGGACTTTCCTTATCAGTACAACATTATTGTGACAAGTCACCATGCATTAAGTGACGGCTTGAGTGCCTCGTTAATAGCGAAGCAAATGGTAGAATTATTGAATGATGTCATCCTCGGGCGCCATATTAACGATGAAGCAACTAGTCAATTTATTCAGAGAGAGGAGCTCTGGGAAGTCGAGTCAAGGATAATAAAGAAATTAGAAGAGGATCCTCAGCGTCACGATTATGTCAAACAGACTATGCCTCTATCCACTCCTTTGCTACTACAAGCATTTCCACGGCCTTCAGTGGATCAAGTCACAACCAGATACCTTTCACGCATCATTGACGAGGATGTTACACAGAAATTTGTAAAGCAGTGCAAATCACATGGTGTCACTATCAACAGTGCTTTCAGTGCTGTGATCAATATTGCTATTGTCAGTTTGATGCAGAAGTCTGGAATATCCCAACAGTCATACCAGATCGCAGGTAATCATATTGTAAGTATGTTACGGTACTTAAAACGAACGCCACGGGATGCAATCGGTGGCTATGCCGTGCTGCTTTCCCACATTTCAAGAATGACTAACGACCATGCAAATAATTTCTGGGAATATGCCAAAGAAATCAACCGAGAACTGAAAGAGAGCCTGACATCAGAACTCCCTCTGGAGCAGAAGATGGCTCGCCTCCTGGCCCAGCCCGACCTGGTGGAGGAGTGGGCCCGGAAACCACCCCCGGTTGTCCACGACTACGGCATCACCAACATCGGTCACTTCCCAATGCCTGAACGACATTTAGACGACCGGGTTCTGGTGACGGACGTTGCATCTGTCGCCATGGTGCATAATTACATCCACATGCTCCTCTTTCTCGTTTACACGTTCAAGGGTCGTTGCAGCTTTACCTTGAGTTATGCAACGGATTACATTGCAGACGACACTGCCACCCTCTTGGCAGATGAAGTGATATCAGTCTATCGGAAAGTGAGTGAAGTGAACGGAATATAAAATTAAGTTTTGAGAAGGCTGAATCTTACTAAATCTTACTCAATTTAGGTCATGCCGAAAACAATGCGAACATCGATAATAATTCATCATAGTTGTTCCTTGTTTCTTCTTTTATTGCAGGATATACTGTTATCAGTTAATCAGTCAAAGTTAATTGTGATGTTAACATAATGATCATCCTAAATCCAGACGACTGAGTAATGTTGCAATAGGAGGGTGTAGTCAGTAAGGTTTACCCCTCAATGTTCTTGGTAATTTCACTGTCGTTCTATCATACTCGTAAATAATGATGAGGTAAATGAAATAACCGATATCATTATAAAACCGATATTGATAGTAATCAATAACATTCCTGATTATGATAATCGTGAAAACCTTTATCATTTTGAGGTGTCGGAATAGTTATATTTTCCAATGGATAAAGCTGTGATTTTTCCTTAGCTTGTTTTCATTGTCCTGCGATAAATATTTATAATGCATGAACGATTAATAGTATGCTTTATATACTCGTATTCAAGGCCTTTTATGTATATCAGCCTGTTTCTAGTATGGTATTTTTTCATTTATGTAAATTCTTCTTTGGCAGGAGACAAGTAAGTAAAAAAGTATATTTATTATTTTTTTTTTACAGTCTTCCTGGCCACAATGTCGCCATTAATATTTCCACCAAACCGCTAGACTGGACTTTAAAAACCGCTCGTTTTCCAGCCTGAAAGGGACTTTAAAAATCGCTAAATATAGAGCAAACTTTCAAAATGTTCCCACAAAATCATAACTCAAAAACTCTAGACATAGCAGGGGAAATCGCAAGAGTGGCACAGTGCCTGGACAGTGCTACTCTCTCTGGGTACCTTATGGCGTTTTGTAAATTAATACAGAAGAAACTCCCCACTACAGATGTTTCTGTTAAGAGGATAGATACTACTTTGAATTCTGTCTGGATATTTTGTGTGGTAACGGCGTGAGGGATAAGAGAGTGCTTCGTTCAGCGTTCCTTTAGAGATCACAGATTGGTCTAGTTTTATCACTTAGTTTTCATTGATCCTCATATGCTGAATTCCTTTTATTTCCCCAAGGGGATGTAAATGCGAGAGGTTCGAGTGTTTCTGAACAGTGTGATGAAAAAAAAAAAAAATAATGGTGTATAAAATGTCAATAGGATTACCACTGTCTCAACAATAACGAATGACACGAAATGAAATGTGTGAAT